GGTTTTGGTTTTTCTCCGGTACCGGGAACCGAACTCACGACCTTGCGCTTGCCAGGCAAGCGCTTTTTGCCGCTGAGCTAAATCCCCAGCCCCTCCGTTATAATTTCTTATGTTATAATTATCTAGCACGGGGCTGGGGATTTAGCCCAGTGGCAAAGCGCCTGCCTGGCAAGCACAAGGTCGTGAGTTCGATTCCCGGTACAGGAAGAAAAACTACAAAAAAAAAAAAAAAAACAAACAAAAAAACCTTAAAAAAAATAATAATTATCTAGCACCACTTCCTTACAGGAAATTCTCAAGTTATCTTCTCAGGGAAAGCCTTATCTCTACCTGGAGTTTAAACCCTGAGAGAGCAATGATTTTAAATCTGGGTTTCTTGGTGATCTTATACCAACACCTGTATTCGAGCTAACTGGCGCCTCCCGGGTCCTTACATTGCCAGAAATATATGTGTGCGGTGAGGGCTACATGAGACTCCTCTAATCCTCAGTGGCGTGTAGTCATTAAGGGCCTAAGCCTGGGTTTTACTCAAAATAAAGATGATTATACCTGTCTCATATAATTGTTGTGAGAATTCTATAAATACAAATAAGCGGGAACACTTGGTGAACATATGAAAATAATAATATTCTTTCTACATCTTGACATAACCATCCTCATCCTCTCTGACCCGCCACTGAAGCGGTATCCCACATTATCCGTGGAATGAGGAAAACAGATTTAGATTCTTCGAATACTGTATCAGGATTAAACTAAATACAAAACTAAGGACAATCATTCCGAAGGTTTGAGAACCCACCTCTTCTTTCCGTTCCCAGACAAACCGCGACGTCTGTTACCCGGGTAACCAGACTGGGTACCACACTTAATTGGGTCCGAAAAGCTCCACGAGAAAAGGTCTCCTTATCATCCAGTTCCGGAATTTTCCTCTTCGGGTAACGGGCTTGGCTTTCAGCGGAATCCGACCCACTTCTCGTCCTATAAAGCGCCCGCTTCCTTTCTGTACCCGCGGACTTCAGAAGGCTCCAGGAAACTCTCCCCGTGGGAGAGTCTCTAGGTATCGGGTTGGAAGGAAGACTTTCTCGGGAGCACAACTTCCGGTGTGAAAGGGAAGCCTCCGCCTTTCTCCGTCAGACCGCTTCCTCCCCCCACCCCCGCCACGCGAGGCTGCGGCGCACGGTATGGGTGTGTTTGTGTGTGTTTGTGTGGGGCGGGCGTTTGGAGGGAAGGTTACTGCGAGCTCCGAGGCCGCTGTGGGGCAGGGATCCCGGTGACAAAGATGGGAGCATTTTCTCTGACTTCCACTTGGAAAGCCCAACCCCCCCTGCGGGCGCCCTAGACACTTCCTGGGGCCCAACGGAAGGTCGTACCCCTCCGGAGCGGCTGCGTCCTTCCCGGGGAGTGAAACCCGAGCCCCCGGGGCCATCCCAGCGAGCGCAGCGGGGAATGCGCGGGCCAGCCGGGCCCTGCGGAGTCCGCGCCGGCGCGCCCTTCGCCTCGGTCCGGGAGAGAGCCGCCGGGCGCGCTGGGCTGGGGCAGGCAGCCGCGGCTGGGCCGCGGGCGAGGGCGCGTTAACCGGTGGGAAGCCTGCGTTTTCACGAAGGACTCGGGTGAAGCTGCAGAGCTGCCTTTGAGCCCTGGCTCCTTGGCTTCCTGGGTCGGAGGAGAGCTTGTAATGGAGCGGTTCCTCGTCTCACACTCACAAGATGCCTGATTTCCCCAGGATCGAGGGGTGAGTGAGCGGTGGGGTGGGTGTGCGCAGCCCCTGCTAGCTACACGTGTGAATTCTCTGTGTCATGTCGTGTTTTGGAAACTTGTGTGCCAAACAGGGGAGAAAAGTCCCCGCGTTAAGAAATGTAGGGCATCTTTGCAGTGGTGTGATGGTGGACGGTCGTGGTTCCTTGGCACTTGGAAATCTAGGTACTGTGTTTTCTTCATCGAAAACTAATTTTGAGATTCGAGATTTAGTTTCCAATGTGGACACTGACATAGATCGTTTGCCTGGGACCGTGTGGCCCGGGGCAGGGAACTTTATCTGCAAAATAGGAGTGCAGTTCCAGTGGGCCCGCCGGTATCCACAGCTCCCCATCCTCGGGTTCTGCCAACGGCGATTGAAAATACTCCGAAAAAATTGCTTGTGTACTGAACATGTAGACTTTTCTTGTGATTATTTCCTAAGCAGTGCAGGACAGCAGCTATTTACATAGAATTTGTGTTGTTTTAGATTTAGAAATAATCTAGAAATGATTTAAAGTAGGTGGGAACATGTACACAGGTATATAAAAATAAGAGATTCGAGTATTCTTTGATTTTGACATCGTGGGCATCCTGAAACCAATTCCTTGCGGATGCTGAGGGCGGCTACTTCATTAAAACAGCATGGTGGGGATTAAATAAAATGATACTCATGACAGCACTTAATGACAGTCTTGCACAGTTTCAGAGAATTCTGATGTACTTCATCTCCATTGATCCTTATATTAATTGTGGTCAGGCATTTCCCTCTTTTAATGATGAAGGAAAAACTTTTTCAGTACCTTGACTTGTAGTTCAGTGATCTTTACTCTATGCTTCTCTAGAGAAGAGAAGGGAGTTGTTACTGAATGTCATGTATTGATTCATTTCAGATTGAAGAATGTCCCGGGTTCCGCTGGGGAAGGTCCTCCTTCGGAATGTCATCCGGCACACAGATGCTCACAATAAGGTGAGAGGTACAATCCAGTCATTCTTCAAGACTTAATGAGGGGACAGACTGTACCAAGCATTTTTTTTGGCAGTGAGGAGATACAGAGATGAAAAAATATTGGGGCTAGGGGTTTAGCTCAGCAGCACAGCGCCTGCCTAGCAAGCGCAAGATTGTGAGTTTGATTCCTGGTACTGGAAAAAAACCAAAAAAAGAAAAAATAGACAATTATGGCACACTTTGATGAATACTATATTATAGAAACATCTAGGAAGTGCTTTAGAGCACTGAGGAAGGAATAATGAAGTCTGCCTTGGAAAATTAGAAAAGATTTCACAGAATGAGTGGTGTATGAGCTGCTGATATTTGAACTGGCTCTTGATGAATGGGTATAGGTTTACCAGCTATAAAAGGTCATCTTGGCTGAAGTGCATCATACACTAATATATGGCACTGAGAAAAAGCGCGGGCTGGAGATACAGGTCAGCGGTGTAGTGGTGCCCAGCATGTGCAAGGCCTTGCGTTCAGCCGCCAGCACTGCAGAAAACAGACAGACCGTGCATCACTTGGGGCATGGCGGGAAAGTGTATGCATCCAGAAAGTAGGAATGTGCTGGGAATGGGGCAGTACAACCCTATAATTCCGGTACTCTTGGAGGCTGACGCAGGCAGATTGAAGTTTCAAAATCACCCTGGGTGACGTAGTAGATTTAGCAAGACCCTGTCTCAAAAAATAAGAAAAGGGCTGGAGATGTAGCACAGTGCAAAGAGCCTGGGTTTCAATCCCCAGTACTGAAAGGAAAAAAAAAAAAGGCATAAAGGGGATAATGGCAGAAGATAAAACATAAGTGGCAAGGAGATTACAGTTTTTTCCTCTAGGCGGAAAGAAGCCATCATATGTTTTAAACAGTATGACATCACAGTTGTATTTTAGAAAGATAATAACTGGTTAGGGAATAGATTAGGTGGGGGAAAGGAGTAGAGAGACCAGTTAGGAGGTGATTTTAATGTTGCAGGTGAGAGATGATGAGGATTTAAGGGAAGGCAGGACTGTAGGGATGTAGAAGAGGAGTTTAAGAGATAGACTTTAAAACATTTGGTGGTTTAGATTAATTGGATGATAGTGATAAAAATGGAGTTAAATATAATCACCTTGTGTAACCTAGGGGGATGATGGTGATCCCGTTAATTAAAAATATGGACCAACAAAAGATAAAATATAATTGGTTTAGTTTTGAACATATTTATGGGAGGGGCTTACAGTTCAAAATTCAAACTTGGAACAATGAAAAGGGGCTAGATATGAGTTTGTGAATTAATTGGTTTATAGGGAGATGACAGAGGTCATGAGAGTAGATTAGGTCACCTAGGAGAAGATAGATAGTGAAAAGAAAGCCAGAGCCCATGTTTAGTTGTCTTCACTGAACGGTACTATGGGTTTGACTAGAAATGTTATTACCGGCATATCACCTAACTTTTCAGTAGTGGGCAAGTGTATAATTGTTATCGTGCTACCTAAGCAATTGTATTAACCAACTCGTAGTTGTATGATTTGAGAGTGGTAGCTAAAAAAGATAAATCTAGCACATATTTAATAAATTATGCAGGATGACTTAGAAATGAAATGTGTTTGTATTCTTTGGACATTGTAGTCTGATTTTTATGATGTTCTCTAGCAACCATACTGGCATTATTTTTTTTTTTTTTTGAGACAGAGCTCACTGTGCAGTCTAGATTAGCCTTGAACTATGTATGTAGCCCAGGCTGGTCTTAAACTCAGGGCGATCCTCCTGCCTCAGCTCCCAAGTGTTGAAATTATAGGCCTGCACCACTGTGCCCAGCTCATACTGTTATTTTTGAGAATTACAATGTGTATGTACCATGTACCAACTGCCCATGAGGAATGTAATCATTATGTGTTGTAAACATGTAGTAATAAAAAAGAAAAATTGAAAGAAAAAATTATAGCATGAAAAGTGACTTAAACTTAGTGTAAAGATTTGTCCTTACTAATTTTTTTTACTTTGGTAAAATCTCTTAACTTTTGTTTTATTTTCAGTAAAATATAATAGTGGTAGCAGCTTTGATTTCCTTATAAGGATGGTCAAAGTTCAATCAAAATGATATAATTAAAATCATACTATATCTTAGATGTGAGATTAAAATTTTTATTGTTGAAGAATTTTTTTTGTATTTGAGATTTCCTAGATTGGATTATTGAACCACTTACTAGAGAAACCAGAATTTATTTTCCAAGTACCTTATCATAGTACAGGCTGTAACCTAGTACTTCGTACAGACCATATTTTAGTTAGCTACTTTTCTGTAAAGTAGAAGGTTATTTTTAGTGACTTATTTTTGTTTCTTTCCTTTTTTCTTTTTTTTTTTTAAAATTCAGATCCAGGAAGAATCAGATATGTGGAAAATAAGAGAAATAGAGAAACAGATGGAGGATACTTACCAGGAAACCAAAAGGAAGATGTTACCCAGCAGTTCAAGGTGAAGTTGAATCTCTGAGAACCAAAATAATTCTCATCTTTTTCAGAGTCAACTTTTGCTTAAAAACATTGTGATACACTGCTGGACGTGGTGGCACATGCCCGTAATACCAGCACTAGGAAGGCTGAGTCAAGAGGATTGCTGTGAATTCATGGCCATCCTGGACTATACAGCAAGACCCATTCTTAAAAAAACAAAAATAAAAATCAGTGAGCAAACCATTGTGATATATTAAGGATAGATCTTTATGTTATTAAGGGTGCTGTTTTGCAAATCTAGACCCAAGTATGAAGATAATGGCGTGGATGATGCCTTGATACATATGGCCAAACTCGTTGTACCTACTTGCAGTGGAAAATTTAAAAATTCTGTCTTGGACAACTGTAAATGTTTAGGATTCTGCAAATTCCAAACTTACGTAATAGCTTTTTTTTTTTTTTTGTCTTTTTGAGACATTTTCCTATATTGTTCAGGCTGGCCTTGAACTCTGTAGCCCAGACTTGCCTCAAATTTGCAGTGATCCTCCTGCCTCAGCCTCCTAAGTGCTGGGATTATAGGCAAGTACCATCATGCCCGGCCTTTGTCTAATAGCTTTTAGTTTAAGACTTTCTATTTGAGACTGAAAGACAGTGAAGTCTTACAACATGTGTGGCTGAAATAAAAGCATAAGAAAACTAAGACTAGAGCTGGGTGTGGTGGCGCATGCCTATAATCCCAGCACTCGGGAGGTTGAGGCAGGAGGATTGTTGCAAATTGGAGGCCCACCTGGGCTACGAAGTGAGTTCAAGACCAGCCTGCCCTGCATGGTAAGACCCTGTCTCAAAAAGACCGGGGGAAAAAAAAAAAAAAAAGGATTTGAACCTAGCTGGTCACTTAACTGATCAATCACTCCTTTCTCTTTTGGTCTTTCATTTTAGTATTTTCTTTACCCCATCTACTCACTTATTTTTGTCAGGTCAATAGCTTTGTAATAATTTGAGTGTGAATACAAAAGGTTATACAAGCTTTGTTGTCTTTCACCTGTGGAAGTAGGTATAGGAGTGTCCAAGTAATAGGGAGAATATCATGGGCGTCATGTCTGTAAGTGTAGGATGTATGTTGTGTTGTTTTGTAAGGGGCCAGAATCCCATAGTTCCTTTCCACATCCCATGACTTAAAGACCTTGTGCTAGGTGTCACCTCTTAATGGTTCTGTCACCTCCCAGTAGTGCCACTTTGGGGACCAGACCTTGCATAGGCCTTTGAGAGACACACAAGGGGCCAAGGATATAGCTCAGTGGCATATAAGCACCTGCCTGGGAAGCTTGTGGTCATGAGTTTGATTCCCAGTACCAAAAAAAAAAAGCAAAAGAGACACATGAGATCCAAATTATAGCAGAGAGGAATAGAAAATGTCCAGTACATGTTACCGTTTTTTTTTTCTAACTCTCTTAAGTATTAGATTGTTTTATTCTCCTCTCAAGCTGTTCTATGATTTTTGTGCCTGAGTTCTATAATATCACAGATTGTTTTGAAATCTAAATGTTCTTTTGTTTTCTTCTGTAGTCGGATGCGTAGTGATGGTTTTGATGAAGAAAGTCAGAGAGAATATTGGAGGCCAAAGACTGAAATTTCTGGGACACTGGAAGATGATTTTCTTAAGGCTAAATCCTGGAACAAGAAGTTATATGATTATGAAGCTAATATGCCAGACAGGTTGTGGCTAAATTCCTGTGACCTTTTGTGATAATTGACAGAACATGTGTTTGTCAAAATCAGTCATTCCTACAAAAACCTGTACACAAGGTGTTCAAGCTAGCATCATTCATACTGGTCAAAAAGTGGAATAGTAAGCTGGGCACAGTGATACCAAGCGTGTAATACCAGCTTCTTGGGTAGCTGACTAAGGAGAGTCATAAGTTTGAGGTTAGCTTGCACAAATTAGCAAGAGAGGAAAAAACAGTGGGAAAGGGATAAAATGGAAACACAGCTTTGTAAATAAGGAGGGTAAGAAGGGTTAAAGGGAGGGGAATGGGAAAAAAAGAAGAATCAAAATATATCATGTACAGGTACAAATTCTCTATGATGAATGTGATCATTGTGTATATCTAAATTGTACCAATAAACAGTTAAAAAAAGACCTAGTCTCAAAAGGGGTTGAAGATGTAGCTCAGCATTCCCTGGATTGAGTCCCCAGTACTGTGCAAAAAAATGGGGGCAGGGAATGGCCCTGAATGTCTATGTGCTGATGAATGGATAAAGAAAATGTGGGATAGCCATACAATGAAATATTATTTGGTAGTAAAAGGAATAAAGTACTGGTAAGTGGTACAACATGGTTAAATCTTGAAGACCTTATCAAAGTGAAAAAAAGCCAGATGCAAAAGGCCGCAAATTGTATGACATTGTATGATAACTTATGTGGTATGTCTAGAATAAACAAGTTCTTTGAGACAGAAAACAGAATAATGGTTGCCATGGGGTAGAGGCACTCATTTTTATTTTTTTTAAAGGTTTAATTTGGCTCAGGAGGCACTGTACTTTAAAAGGGCACATTTCTTCTATGTGAATCATATTTCAATTATTAGTTTTACAAAAACAATCGTTCCATTGTAGACAGCATGTTAGGCAGTGTAAGAGTCCTTTAGTGTTTCTTAAAGAGCATGGGAAATTCTTTTACACATGGATAGAAGACTCCTTTATCTGAAATGGTAGTGTACAGTAAAGAAAATGTAGCTGTTACAGAAGTATCATGGATGTCTATTTTCTTTATTCTGTATGTATGTCTGTGTATACATGTGTTTCAACATCTTTCTAACGTTAATTTCCAAAAATGTGTGCACTGCTTTCATAATACATGTAACATTTCATCTTACAGATGGGGTCACAGTGGTTATAAGGAGTTATACCCTGAAGAATTCGAAACAGACAGGTAAGACAAATAGGCATACTGAAAAAGTTAGGAACCTCAAGTTAGTGTAAAATCTGTACTATAAATTGTGTTCCAAATTTTCTAGAGACTATATTTGCCACTGAAAATGTAGCTAGAGCCTTGTGTGATAGCACACACTTGTAGGCTTTGTAGGGCTAGCTTCTCAGAGGCTGAGGCAGGAGGATCACTTGAGTCCAGAAGTTCAAGTCCAGCCTGGGCAATGTAGGGAGACCCTGTCTCAAAATATTATTTAGTTGGAAGGCCTTTCCTTGATTGATGTTTGGCATATCAAAATGTAAACATTTTGGTTTTTATATAGGGATAGGTTCCAAACCCCCTCAAGTGGTGCCTGAAACTCAGATGATACTGAAGCCTGTCTATACTGTTTTCCATTCATATGTATGATAAACTTTTATCTTAAAGGAAGTATTCCATTTCTTCTCTGGGGCACATCTGCATTGCCTGTATCACCATTTTGTGTTTTGGGGACACTATTAAGTAAATAATAGTTTTTTGAACACAAACACATTGCATGATGGTGGCTCTGATAACTCTGATGGCTAATCAATGACTAAAGGAGAGATAGCTGAACAGAGGGAGGATTCAGGTCCCAGGTGGGACAGAGAGAGGTAGAAATTTTATGCTGCTACTCAGAATGACTTGCAATTGAAACTTACGAATTGTTCATTTCTGGAATTTTCCATTTAATATTTTCAGACTATGGTTAACCAGCTGAAACCACTGGGTAACTGAAAACATGGATAAGAAGGGACCAGTGGTTATTACTCTTTACAGTAACTTAATGTGGCAGATTAGAATTTTTATCTTCATTTTTTTTTTCCTTTTTTAAATTTTCATTTTAAAGATGAAGAAACAAAACCTCAGAAAAATAGGTAAGTCTCATAGTAACCCTGTGTCAAAGTTTTTGATTGAAAATTCTTATGTGAGCAATTTCCCATCTAGAATGCAGAGTATTAAAATATAAATACTTTCGCTGGGCTTGGTGGCACATGCCTGTAATCCCAGTACTCAGGAGGCTGAGGCAGGAGGATCATTGCAAGTTCGAGATTGGCCTGGGCTACAAAGTGAGCTCAAGGCCAGCCTGAACTGCATAGTGAGACCCTGTCTCAAAAAGACCAATCAATATATTTTTCTACATAACAGATTAATTTTTTTTACTTTTTATTAGTAGTGATCAGCAAGATATTACCAATGGGAAGAAAACATCTCCTCAGATAAAATCATCTACCCATGAATCCCGCAAGCATAAGAAGTCAAAGAAGTCTCACAAAAAGAAGCAGAAAAAAAGGTCACACAAAAAACAGAAGAAAAGCAAGAAGGAAGCCACAGATGTAACAGCAGATTCCTCAAGTGAGTTGTCAGAAGAAACCGGTGCTTCTAGTACCAGGAAAAGGAAGCAACCACATAAGCGCAAGAAAAAATCCAGAAAAAAGTCTCTCAAAAAACCAGTTTTGTTTTTAGGGGCAGAAAGTCACACTTCCCAGTCAGATGATTCAGCATCTAGTAGTTCGGAAGAAAGTGAGGAAAGAGACGCTAAGAAAACCAAAAGGAAAAAGAGAGAGGAAAAAGTCCACGTCCCTCCTGTAGCTAACAATGAAGTACAGAAAAGGACCAACAAACGCACAAACTGGAAAGTGGCTACAGATGAACGATCTGCGGAGAGCTCAGAGGATGACTAAATGGGAAAGAAATATTCCCGTTTCCCACTTGACTGGATATTTACAGCTCGTACACCTAGGAGTTTCTGCTAGTGACTCCTTCAGCACGGGGTGTGAGGTCAGAGCTGTTCTGTGCCATCTATACAAGTTTTGACAGACTTCTTGTCTTCTATTTTGGCCTGTTAAACTTGATCCCCTTTTCTTGTTAATAGGGAATCTGGTATTTTGTTATGAAGGTTTCTTGAAGAGATTATTTTTTGCAGTTAATCACATTTAGTGTAGAGTACATATATAGCAAATTAAAGGACCCGGAAAGCTGCATCCAATATTGACCTGTAAACCTATTGGAATGTTGAATTGGGGGAAAGTAAGGGCTGGGTCAAGAGGTGGATTGGAAGCAGTGCTATGTGCAGTGGCTGGAGAAGGGAACACTATGCTGCTCTGTCATTTATATAGTAGGTGTCAAAACTTGTCTTCAGCCTTGGTGCTTTGATCCCTCTGTGTTTTGATCCTACAGCTGTGGTCTAGTTTACTTAATGAGGAAATGGGCACAAGAACAAACTTTCTTTTTATGGTAATGTCCATAGACAACTGTTAAAAGGGACTAGGGCTTTGTCAGTTCTTTAGAGCCCTAACACCTGGTATTTGGATAGTAAATGGTTTTGTAGTCCCATTGTTGTATATTGACCTAAATGGACTTGTGTTTGAAATTACTTCTTCAGTTGTTGGAGGTGACGTCTGTTAAATGGGAAGAATTAAGAGTTAGTTATACTAATTATGTTCTGAAAGAGATTCAGAGCAACAGCCATCTTTTCTTTTGGGGGAAGCGGGCAGTATTGGGGATTGAACCCAGGGCCTTACATGATACCAGACGAGTGATGGATCTACCACTGAGCTACACCCCCTGCCCTTGCTGTCCTTGTTTCTAATTTTATTCATTCATTTTGTTTTCCCTGAAACTAAGTTGAATCAGTTCCAAAATGAAACAAGCTTCTCAGGGACAGACCCACTTTTTTCTAGTCTGCTTCTGGATTAGCCTACCAAGCAGAGACCACATCTTTTGTCGTTTCTATACTGTGATCCCTACTATGTTAATTCTGAAGAAACCAAAATATTACTGAAAGACGGCTGGCAGAACACAGGTGAATTTTTCATTGTGGGAGAAAATATCAAGTGACATAGTTTTTTTCCTTGGTTGTCAACTTCCTGAGCTGAGTAAAAAGCTTGGAAATCCAGGTTTTTGGTCTTGATTCTGCCACTAATTGGTAGAGTTCTACAGCAGGTTGTTAACCTTCCTTGGCCTTACTTTCCTCATGTCTAATAAAGAAATACTTCATGGTAGTCCTCACGTCTAATAAATACTTCGTGGTAGTATGACAGTTTTAAGACACCAGCAATAGAATACAACTATGATGACATTCCATGAAGTGGTATTGTTCTAAATTAGTTCTCTCTGTGGAACAGATTTCTAATAAAGTGCTTGGTTTTAAATTATATGGTTGGCTAGATGTGCCCTATCCCTTCATTATGAGCAGGTGCTACCTTTTGGAATATTTATTTGAGATATTAATACTTTGGTACTCAATTGTCAATGTTTTCAGTGTGTATTTTCATCCTTGGGATAAGTGGAAGCCTATAGTGGGAAGAAGAGTCTATACTACCTCTTAACCTCCTTGGAACAAGTGGGATCTTTGTTGAAAAATTTTACCATGTGTATTTTAGCATTGTTTTTATGCTCTAAGAGTACTAATTCTTAAGCACAGATACAGGAAAGTGGGCCAGTGGAATAAGGCACCTCCAGGAAGGTGGCTCTGTTTGGGTCTTGACCTTTCCCTCCTCCCATACTAACAGGCTTATCGCTTTCCCAGGGAGTGTATATTTTGCTTTTTTTTTTTGCCACATTTACCTATTCTTGGCCATGTAAAAGCAATAAAGCTGTTTTCTGTTCTTTTAACTTTAGCAGCCCTGAGTTCTCTTCTGTGCATGAGGCTGAGGCTTTGATGGTTCTTCTGACCTTTTAACTTGGCTTAAAGTGGCTCTTCAAAACCTGTGATCTCCCATTTCCCCTAGTAGCCTTGGACCGTATTTATTTTTAGTGTTCCTTCCGATCAGAGATCTCCATTAAATCCTAAAATAGGATTTAAAAGTAAAAAAGAGTTGGGGAATTCACGTTTATTGAGTAACTGATGTGTTACAACCTGGAATTCCTGAATTCCAAATAAATAAATGTTTTGTACATTTGATCTGTTACTTTTTAGCACCAGCACACTTGGCAACAGACTGATGCTCATGTGAGGATGGGTTGACAACTCTTCCCCCAGTGGCCCTTCATTCTGCTTCCTAACAAGTCCTTTGCTGCATCTGTGACACTCCCACAGGCTGGTCTACTGTCCTTTTTGTACAATCTGAGCAAACCGACTGGTGATGGCAAGAGTAGTGTCAATGAAGCGGTCCACACAGCTAGAGAGGCAATTTTCGGTGCGGGAGTCTAGGCGATTGCTTGGCTTCTCCACACATTTATCCCAACATAGCTCCATGAAGTGATGCACCTAAAAGAAAAGAAAATCAGTAACCACTGGGGTCTGGAGAGATGCAAAACTACCTTTTTTTTTTTTGAGGGTTTCATTAAGTAGTTCAAGCTGGCCTTGAACTCAGTGATTCTCCTGCCTCAACCTCCAGGCTAGCAGCACTATGACCAGTCTGTCCCTTTTCTTTCCTTATTTTTCATTAACTGATGAACCATTCTCTTAATTAACATGGAATTAACTATGGAATCAATCTGGACTCTGTTCTTTTTTCACTTTCTAATTTGTCACCAGTATGGCCCAGACCCCTGCAGTTGATAAATCCCCTTTTCAGGTAGAATTAATGCATTCTTTAATACTCCCTAAAACAGCACCAATATAAAGGGGAAGGTAGGAGCAATTTAAAACAGTTTAAACCATCATCAGAACCTAGAGTATGTTCTAAACATTTTAGGGGTTGTGGACACATTTAAGAATTTGATAGGTTTTGCACAGATTCTTCCCCCAGAAAAATGCATACAGGCACAGAAAATGTGTTCAGGACCCAAAGGTTGCTAGTGAGGGTTCCTTCCACAGCCTGCACGGTCCTTACAGCTCCCACAAAAAGAAAATAATCATGTACCGAGGGATTACTTTTGGGAGCTAGTCTGTTCGTTCAGAACTTCTTAAAGATGGGTGTGATTAGGAAGTTCAAGGTCAAGCAACCAGCCGGGCGTGGTGGCGCACTCCTGTAATCCCAACACTTGGGAGGCTGAGGCAGGAGGAGCGTTGCGAGTTCGGGACCAGCCTGGGCTACAAAGTGAGCTGAGGCCAGCCTGAACTGCATAGCGAGACGCTTTCTCCAAACAAACAAAAAAAAAGGTCAAGCAACCAGCAAGGAAGAATCCCGGGCTGAACATGCCTGAAGGACTCAAAAACCCTTGACCTAAACCAACAGTATGCAAACACTGTTTACTTCAGAGCCCCCTACCTCCAAAAATGTTCCAGTACTCATCGTTCCTAAATACATCACCGCAAACGCTTTTCGCAGTCTAGTGAGGCAGTGGGCGACGGCGACCCAGCCTGGACGGTTGTTCTGCCTGGAAGCGCTGGGTCCTGAAGCGGCAGGATCAGAACCCAGGCGTTCCGAATGCCAGCCTAGAACGGGCCCACCGGCTAGGGGCTTCCCATGGCCGTGCGCTGACCAAACCTTTCGCCCCGCTGCGCCGTCTCACGCCTGCCGCGCTGCTTCAGCGGCACCTGAGCACCATCGGCCACCAGGAACCGAAGGGTTCGTCTCGTCCCACACAAGGGGGCCGGCAGGCAGCCTCCGCGCCCCTCCAAAGACCTCCGTGGGCGTCGGGACCTACACCTCACTCTCCTTTCCCTCCACCCGCAAGAGCTGGCCCCCGTCCGCGCACCTGCGCAGTGAACTGTGCCTTTTGTTGTTCGGCCGCCACCAGGCGCTGCAACTCCGCTTCGTTCGCCTCGCTCAGCTCCGCCATTGTGCGAAAAGACGTGGGAGGGCAGGAGAGCGGCTTGCGCATGCGCGAGGGGCGCGCGCCTAGTCTTGACTTCCGGCTCTCCTAGCGTTTCCTCCCGGCGTTCTCTTTTTTTTGTCGCGGGATAGGATTTGTACTTCCGGGTTGGTGGGTGACCTTGAGGCTCCAAAAGCGAGATGGCGACTATCTCGAGGCTGAGTGTCCTCTGCGGTGCCCAGGGATCGCGAGGTGAGGGGTGCTGTCCGCGGGAGGTGCTTCACGCAGCCTGCAGCAGGGAAAGTGGTTGGAAGCGAGGACGTGTTTGGCGGGGGATGAGACATCTTGAGAGGGCGGGAACCCTTTCTTCCCTTCAGCCTCCCGGCCGCCTGCGCAATGGTAGCAGTGACCGCTGTCGCCTGCGGGCCCAAAAGTTCATCTCTCCTGCTCCGGGCTGCCGTGATAGGATAATTCGAAAGAAAGCTCTCTCTGGAAGTTATTCTACGTAATAGTTCTTCTTGTGTTTTTCTTTCCACGTACTGTTAGAACGCGCTCCGCCCCGGATTGGGAGAAAGAATTAGGACTTGAGCCCCAGTACAGTGCGTGGGCTTGCCCGTTTCCCCTGGCTGGTGTGTTTGCTCGTGGGTGTGCGGCTCGTCAGCTCGGGAATCGTCTCACTGGTCAGTGGTGCGGTACCCGGCACTGTAGTAAGGCTCGCACAGGTGGGAACGTAAGCTGACTCCTGCCGTGGAAGAGCTCCCTTTTTTTTTTAAAGGACAATGCATGTACACATAATCTAACCTAAAGCAAAAACTGCTGTACAGAAGTTACAGAAGTTCAGAGAAAGAGTATTGTAGCTGTATTTTGAAAGGATTATCCTTCTTGGTTCTTTTTTTTTGAGACGGGGTCTCGCTATGTCGTCCAGGCTGGCTTTGAACTCACTGTGTAACCCAGCCTGGCCCCAAACTCAGAGCAGTCTTTCTGCCTGAGCCTCCCAAGTGCTGGGATTGCAGACGTGTGCCACCGGGCCCGGTACCTATCTTGGTTCTTACGGACATGTACCTGATTTGAGTCTTGAGGATAAAGGAAGCCAAGGGAAGGAGAACGGTATGGTTAGAGCTACCGAGCTAGCCAAAAGCAGTGATCATGCCATACTGGCTGCATGGAACGAGAGACAGCAAAATGAATCATAGTTGGTGAGTGTGAAGGCCAAGGGGAGAAAAAGGACTTTAGAAAGGTGAAGTGGAATTAAACCAGATAATTTTTTTTTGTACTAGGAATTGAATATAAGGCCTTGCACATGAACTCAGTTACTGAGTCCCTTGTTTAATCAATCGATAAAAAGCCACAACCTGCGGACCAACTCTGAGTCCCTTTTTAAACAATGTCATTTTGGGCCGGGGATATAGCTCAGCAGCACAGATGCCTGCCTGGCAAGTGCAAAGTCCAGAGTTTGATTCCAGGTACCAAAAAATAAATAAATAAATAAAAATAAAAAATGTCATTTTGAGGGGCTGGGGATACAGATCAGTGGCACAGTGCCTGCCTGGCAAGTGTGAGTTCGTGAGTTCGATTCCAAGTACCAAAAATAAAAAATTAAAAAATAAAAAGTAAAATTGTCGCTGGGAATGGTGGCACATGGTGGCGCACACCTGTAATTCCAGCACTCAGGAGGCTGAGGCAGGAGGATCATTGCAAGTTCGAGGCCAGCCTGGGTTACAGAGTGAGCTCATGACTAGCCTAAATTCATAGTGAGACCCTGTCTCAAAAAGACTAAAGAATAAATAAAAAGATCATTTTGAGACAGGGTCTAGCTGTGTAGTTCAGGCTGGCCTTGAACTCACTGTGTAATGCAGGCTGACCTCAAACTTGTAAGCCTTCTGCCTCAGCCTGCCAAGTGCTCAGATTACAGGCATGCGCCACTACACCCAGCTTGAGACAGGATCTTGCTAAGATGCCTAGGCTGGCCTTGAGCTTGTTATCCTCCTGCCTCAGCCAAGTAATTACAGGCCAGTGTTACTGTACCTGCCTACAAAAGTACTTACCGTGGGGCTGGGGATTTAGCTCAGCGGCACAGCGCCTGCCTGGCAAGTGCAAGGTCGTGAGTTCGATTCCCGGTACTGGAGAAAACAAAAAAAAAAGAACTTACCTTGGTAAAACATTGTACACTGACTTGGTATTGAAGTGTAGCCATTGCTTTGTGTTTGCTTTTATTTTTTTCTTCCTGAGACAGGATCTCACTTTGTTGCCCAGGCTGGCCTACAACTCCTGGGTTCAAGGGATCCTGGAGGGTAGCCATTGAAAAACTTGGCAAGCCGGCCATGGTGGCTCACGCCTGTCATCCCAGCGCTCGGGAGGCTGAGGCAGGAGAATCGCTATGAGTTTGAGACTAGCCTGGGATAGAAAGTGTGCTCAAGGCCAGCCTGAACTGCACAGGGAGACCCTCTCTCAAAAAGACAAAAAGAAAAACTTGGCAGAGCCTCAGTTTCACTTGCCATTGTGATAACAGTGTAGTTGGTGGCTATGGTAGAAGATGGAGCAGGCCCAGATTCAAGTCAAGGAGATTTGACACGGTTGTAGTAACCTAGAGAAGGTGAGGCCCTGAGCTTGGAAAATAAAAAGGAGATTGTCTCAGGAAATACTAGAAAGCTATGTCCATCAGATTTGGTGATTTAATTTAGAAGGAGGGTCCTGTATTACTTCCAGATTTCTGGGATAGTTTAAAGAACACTGAAAGTGTCATTAAAGTGAGAAACAAACAGGAATAAAAATTTGGATGAGAAAATGAGTTGAAGGATTTCAATATTTAATATGTTGAGTTCGAGGAGCATGTAAGTATCTGTGGAGAAGCCTGGCAGGCCGTTAACCTGAAACTGGAGAGGTATCGGTAGGAGTCGTGGTTGTAGATATCATCAGTTTATAGGCAATAAATGAAACCATAAGAGTGAATGAAAGGCCTCAGGGCATAGGAACTAAGGCTAGCAATGGGGCAGATAAAGAATCTTGGGGAAAACAGCATGCATGCAGGAGGAGACTGATGTGGTATGGTCAGAGGATCATAAGAACTAAAAAAGAGTTCTGGCTGGGCATGGTGGCACACTCAATAATCCCAGCATTCCAGAGGCTAAGGGAGGAGTAGTGCCATAAACTCAAGGCCAGCCTCAGCTGGCTAGCCCTGCCTCAACTGCATAGTGAAACCCCATTTTAAATCAAAACTAAAACAACAAAAAAAAAAGAGCTTTAAGCCAGGTAAGGTGATACACGCCTGTAATCCCAGCACTCAGGAGGCCAAGGCGGGAGGATCATTGTGAATTCGAGACTGGCCTGGGCTACAGAGTGAGCTCAAGGCCAGCCTGAACTGCACAGAGAGACCCTGTCTCAAAAAGACAAAAAAAAAAAAAACCAGAGTTCTAAAGTCAGGAAAAAGAAGGGGTTGCTTGCCCGATGGTGTAGTAAGACCGAATAAGAGTATAATTGAACAGTAAGTATTGGCCATAGCTATGTGGAGATTGTTGATGGTTTACTAGAGCAGATACAAGGAGTATAAACATGTGTCAGAGTTAAAGCATGGGAAATAAGGAAGTACTTTACAGAAACAAGATTGGAAAGAAGGAAGAAAGAGCATGGGAAAGTGTGCGGTCATTATTTACAGGATACGGGATCAAGAGAAGGGTTAAGCATATTATGTGAGGTGAGGGAAAATGGCCAAAGGGAAGGAAGAATTTAAAGGAAGAAAATAATAAGAAATTACCTTCTTTGTGTCTGTGTGCCTTTAACATTCTGAGAACTGCTCAACATCTTGCACGCATTATCTGATTTTTTATATAGAGTATTGTGAAATAAGTACGGTTATTTCCCTTATACAAATGAGATTGAGACTTACAGAGCCAACTTAACCTAGTTGCTTGTTATCTCACACCTAATAAGTGATCTGGCTGGGTAAACTTAGCCCTGTCTGGTTTTTTTTTTTGTCTTTTTGAGTCAGGGTCTCACTATGCAGTTCAGGCTGTCCTTGAACTCACTTTGTAGCCCAGGCTGGCTTCTCACTCCCAGGGATCCTCCTGTCTCAGCCTCCCTAGTGCTGGGTTTACAGGCATGCGCCACCACGCCCAGCTAGCTCTGCTTTTTAACCAAGAGGCAGAATCCAAAATGGGAGAGTAAGGAATGGTTCACGGGTACAGGTAGAGCTCAGGGTTGTAGTCCCAGCTACTCTGGAGGTTGCAGCAGGAGAATTACAAGTTTGAGGCCAGACTGAGCAACTTAGTGAGACCCTATCTCAAAATAAAAACCAGGGGCATAGCTCGGTACACCCTGGTTCCGTCCCTGGTACTGTGGGGAGGGCATGGTAAGGACACATTGGTCTTGGAAAAGAAGAAGGCAGTGGTTGAACTTTCAAGGTAGACTGAGTTGTGAGAGAGCAAAGACTGCTCTGTCTTGTTCTGATGCTGAGCACAGTCCTCAACTTAGTAAATGCTGGATGAAAAGGGAAAGAAGTTAGCATGTATTTAAAAAGTAAAAGTGAGGCCCTTTCACGTAGGTGATTTGCTGATTCTTTAGTCTTTTGACAGCTACTTAGTCCAACTTTATAGTAGCTCAGTGAAATGACACCATCTTGATGTTGTAGATGACATATGACCTATTGAAGGCTAAGTAGCTAGCTTTTTGCCATTTAGAAGTCTGTCAGTCCCGTTAAAGAGGTGCTTGTGATCTCTGTAACGTTTCTTTCCGCAGGTCTGTTTCTTCGGACTTCGGTGGTCAAGCCTGCTCATGTCTCAGCGTTTCTCCAAGACCGACTCGCCCCAGGGTGGTGTGGGACACAGCACTTCCACCTGTCACCGAGCCGCCACTGTAGGTTCTCCTACCCCTCTGTCCTCTGGCTGCTGCTCACTTTTAGCTGAACTACTTATCATTCATGCCTTTGGTGGGACTTGATGTCTGTCCCATTGTGGACTTGGGGTTTGTCCAGATTCTCGTGTTTACGTCTGGCAAACGAAGACCTAGTGTACAGCTTGGGGCAGTGTTGTTGAATGACGCCATTTATATTCATAGAGAGTCTTCTGGCCTAAGTCATTACAGTTTTTAAAAATTTTTCTTAAAATAGCTCTGTAGGATTGCTGCCTCAGGATAGTCAAATCTCTTGTATTCAGTTAGGTGATGGAAAGGAGCCAGAGGTGAATAATTGAGGTAGTCTTAAAACTCATGTCTTGTGGGCTGCATCGTGTGTATTGCTTATTTTTTAAAGTTTGATTTAAAACCACATGACATTTCCTAAATGGGTGTTATTTAGCTGTTCAAATTAGTCTTAGAAAACCTGAAGGTGAATAATGAAGAGTATATTTCCATTTTTAAAGTCTGGAGAGGACAGTATTTGAGACTTCTCTTGATTCTTTTTTTTTTTTTTTTTGGTTTTTCTCCGGTACCGGGAACCGAACTCACGACCTTGCACTTGCCAGGCAGGAGCTTTACCGCTGAGCTAAATCCCCAGCCCCTTCTCTTGATTCTTAAGTCAACCACTTGTAACTCTTTTCTTGAGTTAGGAAAGATGAGGTGGGTATAGTTTGTTTGTTTTTTCTTTTTGGTTTTTATTTTTTTGCATTAAGACTTTTTCTGTCTCCAAGAAGGTTTTATTTTGGATTACTTTGCTTAGTTCAAGTTAGATTTAGCAGAGTGGTTCTAGAGAAACCATTGCAGGAAATGTCTTGAAATTGTATACATGCATTTTTATGTATTTGCCTATGTGATACTTCCTGGGAAGATTCTCCCTTTTTTTTTTGTCTTTTTTGAGACAGGGTCTTGCTATGCAGTTCAGGCTGGCCTTGGGCTCACTTTGTAGCCCAGGCTGATCTCGAACTTACAACAATCCTCCTGCCTCAGCCTCCTGATTGCTGAGATTTTTTTATTAGATTTTCTAAAGGAGTGTGTAATCCAAAAAAGGTAGCCTCTCCAAGATAGATTTAAAGCCCATGTAATTTTTTGTTTATGTGTCTGTGTCTCACTTGTTTTGGATTTATTTGTAAATAATGGGGCAGAGGTCCAAGACCCAAAAGCTCACCTTAGACCTTTGTTTCTCTTTGAGTTAGTTGGATTAATTTTGTTTTGGGTGGATAATATTCATTACTTTCAAAGATTAAAAGGTGTTAATAAAGCCAGGTGTGGTGTTGCATGCCTGTAATCCCAGCATTTGGGAGACTGAGGCAGGTGAATACCAGTACTGTGAGTTTGAGGCCAGCCTGGACTACATAGTGAGACCTTATCTCTATTTTTTTTTTTTTGGTACCGGGAATCGAACTCAGGACCTTGTACTTGCTAGGCAGGCGCTTATGCCACTGAGCTATATCCCTGGTCTGAGACCTTGTCTCAAAAAAACAACAACAAAAAAAAGTGTCAGTAAACAAGTGTTATTTTAAAGGAATTCATCAGGCATCACTAACTTAGCATTTTTAAGGTATAGCTGTATTTAACTGAAGTCCAAGGTTGGCTTAATTTCACAGAGAGATTTCATTTACCCTCTTGCCTAGACGTACAGTGGATCTGTTTTTTTGGTTTGTTTTGGGTACCAGGAATCGAACTTAGGACCTTGCACTTGCCAGGCAGGTGCTTGTGCCACTGAACTATATCCCTGGCCCCTGTTTTCGTATTAGTATAGACAGGTGGTGAGACATCTTGCACTAAAAAACTTCAAAGAAAGGGTATTGAGTTAAATCTTACCTCTCCTGTTTATCTTTCTGTCAGTTTGGGTTATTGTGTGGTAAATGTTGGGTGTGAGCAATGTGTATGTCTTCCCTCGACTCTTATGAACCTGGTCTTTCTTGTAGCTGGTTCCAAGGCCGCCTCTCTGCACTGGACGAGTGAGAGAGTAGTCAGTGTTTTCCTCCTGGGCCTGCTTCCGGCCGCATATTTGAACCCGTGCTCTGCAGTGGACTACTCCTTGGCTGCAGCCCTCACTCTCCACAGTCACTGGCAAGTACAGCAGCCCTTCAGTGTTGTGTTGCCTGTGAGCTTGTCTTATGTGTTGCATATGAGGGAGAAGTTGAACAAGAGATTCAAAACCTATGGGAAGGGCTGCGTGTGGTGGTGCGTGCCTGTATTCCCAGCACGCACGAGGCCGAGGCAGGGGCATTGCTGCGAGTCTGAGGCCAGCCTGAGCTACAAAGTGAGTTCAAGGCCAGCCTGAACTGTGTAGCAAAACCCTGTCTCAAAAGACAAAAAAAAAAAAAGACTATGGAAAATTTAGGTATAAACAAAATAGCTATATATCCAGATTTATATATTCGCCTGCCTAGTTGATATCTTAATCTCTATATCTGATAGGCATTTTGCATATGGCATGTATAAAACTGAGTTCCTGAGCTTCCCCCAGATCTGTTCCTGCTACACTCTTGCACATCCGAATTACTGGCACTCCCATGCTGCCCTTAAAGCCCACACGTGTGATCTCTGATTGCAGGAGTAGGTCTCCTCACTTGTCTGCCTTGCATCTGTTACCAACACAGCAGCCCCAGTAATCCTCTTACAATGTGAAGTCAGGACAAGACATTGTGCTTCTCAAAACTCTTCATCCCCGTTTCTTACTCAAAGCGAAAGGGTTCTTACAGTGGCCTACAGACTCTAGAGGACCTAGAGTATGGTTGATGGGTGGGTCATGTCTGTCGTCCTAGCTGCTCAGGAGGCTGAGGCAGCTCCATCTAGAGTTTGAGGCCAGCCTGGGCAGCATAGTGAGACCAACAACCTACCTTCCTTCCTTTCTCTCTCTCTCTCTTTTCAGTACTGGGAATTGAACCCTGGGCCTCACACATCCTAGACAAAGCCACTCAGCTATTTTTGTTAGTGTTTTTTTTTGGGACAGGGTCTTACTAAGTTGCCTGGGCTGGCCTGAATGTGTTACCCTCCTGCCTCAGCTGGGATTACAAGCACGTGCCACCACACATTGCTAGATATTTCTTGTTTTACCTTCATCTGGCCCGTCAGTTCTTTCTTCAGAGCATAACCAGAACTGTGACTTGACCGCATATCCTTGGTCGTGAGTCCAGGTGAAGCAATAACCTTGCCTGCACCACTTTACTTGCCTCCTAACTGTTTTTACACTTGTGTTTTTGTCCTCTCTTCCCGCTGTCCTTTTGGTACATTATAACCAGAGCGACCTTTTAAAAAAAAGTACATTTCTTCAAAGATGACGTACAAATGGTCAGTATACACATCAACAGTTGTATATCATTTGTCATTAGAGAAATGCAAATCAAAAAAAAAATCACAGCGAGATACCACTTCATACCTACTTAGGATGGCTGAAGTGAGAAAGATGAGCAGTAACAAGGTTTTTTGAGGATGTGGAGAAGTTGGAACATCCTACATTCGGCCAGAAATGTAAAGTGTTGCAGCTACTTTGGAAAACACTTTGGCAGTTACAACAAAAGTTGCCCTATGACTCAGCAGTTGCACTTTTAAATATATGCCCAAGAGAATTGAAACACAACAACTTGCACAAGAATATTCAGAGCACATTAGTTATACAGTTCAGGCATTCATCAGCCGATAAATACCTAAACAAAATATCACACATTATAGAATGGAAATTATTCAGTCATACGAAAGTGTGAAGTATTAGTGTCTGCTACAGTATGGTTGAACATTGAAAACATGCTAAATGAAGGGTGCTTCACACAAAAACCACGTATTACGGGATGTAATTTATGTGAAATGTCCAGGTTTGCCTGGTGTGTTGCTGCATACCTGTAATCCCAGCATTCTGAAAGGCAAGAGGATTGCAAATTTGAGCCAAGCTGGAGAAATTAGCAGCCTAATAAGACCTTGTTTTTAAAAAATTGGACTGAGGACCTGAGGAGGTAACTCAGTGCGGAGGCCTTGGGTATCCCCGGTAACACACAAGCGCACACACAAAGCAAGTCTATAGACAGAAGCTAATTACTGGTTTGGTAATAGGCTAATTGGTAGAGTGTTTTTTTTTTAAGATGGTGAAAATGTTCTGGAATTAAATGATAATTATAGTTTACAACTACATAACTATACTGAGAAAAAAACCACTGAATCGTACAGTTTAAAAGGTGAATCCCTTTCTTTTCTTCCTCTCTCTCTGCCCCTCTCCTTCCCTCCCTTCTTGAGAAGATGGTACAGGGACCAGAAACAAAACTTTGGGCTCCATAAAAGTAGAGGAGCCTATTTATTTATTTATCTATCTATCTATCTATCTATCTATCTATCATCTTTGTGAGACAGGGTCTTGCTGTGCAGTTCAGGCTGGCCTTGACCTCACTTTGTAGCCCAGTCTGGTCTGATCCTCCTGCCTCAGCCTCCCAAATGCTGGGATTATAGGCATGCACCACCATGTCAAACTTGTTAGGAAATTCTTGATTCCTTGATTTTGGTTTAGATTTTATGACCGTGAGTTGCTTTCGTTTATTGCCTAAAAAAAAAAGTACAGAAATAACTATTTACCAAAATGGCTACACAAAATCCCCTAAAGAAGCAGACAATTACTAGAGTGACAGAGACATTGTATTTTGAGTCTCACATTGCATTTTGAGTCAGTCTTTCTTTGTAGCCTGGTAACCTGTAAGTTTTCTAACTTCACTTATGATTTTTAACTTGTGCTGTGATTTTTGTCTCTCCAGGGGTCTTGGCCAGGTTGTCACTGACTATGTTCATGGAGATGCATCGCAGAAGGCTGCCAAGGCGGGCCTTTTGGCACTCTCGGCTTTAACCTTTGCTGGGCTTTGTTATTTCAACTATCATGATGTGGGCATATGCAAAGCTGTCGCCATGCTGTGGAAGCTCTGATCTTTGGACCTAATACCTTAAGAGTTGATTGTATGCCTCTTTGCCTCTGCTCTGTCACGCCATTCAGCTCACAGTAAGCAAAAAATAATGGAGAAGTCCATCGGTCCTTATCAGATGGTCATTTTTACACTTCAACTTTGAGGAAAAAGTTTGAGAGGAATTGTACCCAAGAAGTAGTGAGACCGAGTTCTGTGTTTTGGTGAGTTAATGGGATTGTCTCCCAGCTCACAAGACTCAGAGTGTAAATGAACATTACCTATGAGCTCTTGCCTTTTAATTTATCAGTCTTTTAAAGAGAATTCAGCTTTATTACTATCAATACATGGTCATACTTTTGTATTTTTCTTGGGAATAATAGACAAAGGGAAAGATTTAATTCATGAGTAATCAAACACGTTGCAGAAAATCAGACAGTGTTTAATTTTTGGAAATGTCCCTGACTGTTCAGTTGGTTCAAGATAATGATGATTTTTTTGTGTCCTAGAGAAACTTTGAAATTAGGAAATGCTGATATTAGGGATTTCTGAATACTAGGAAGGAAGGCTTGGAGAACTTCTGAGTTTAGAGGCCCATTTAGGGAAGAGATTTTTGCAGATGAGTCAGAGTACTACCAATTCCAAACAGAATTAACTCTCAAATGTGTTTTACTTGTTCTAAAACAATCTGTCCACAAATATAAAACTGTAAGTAATAAAGTAATAAATTACCTTCCTGTTGTGGGAATTGCTAATGAGAGAATGTATTCTGTGAAAAGAAACATTTTTTTAAAATAAAAGGTTGTATAATAAAAAAATGTATTCTACTTTTTTATGTTTTGGCTGTCCCTAGTTTTAGTTGTTTTTGTTTTTGGGTTTTTTGTTGTTGTTGTTGAGACAGGGTCTCTGTATAGTTCAGGCTGGCCTTGAACTTGCAACAATCCTCCTGCCTCAGTCTCCCAGTGTTGGCATTACAGGCTTGTATCACCCCACCCAGCCTGTTTTTTTATTTTGTTGTTGTTTTTTTTTTTTTTGAGATAGGCTCTTACCGTTAAGGGGGTAAGGTCTTGTTAAGGGGTGTCATGAACTCCTAAGCTCAAGCAGTTCTGCTTCATCCTCACAAGTAGCTGGGACTACAGGCGCAAGACTGCAGGATTACTAAGGCACAGGCCTAGTTTTATTCATTAGAAGTAAGTATTACATTCACATCTCTAAAACAGAACCAAGCATTTAAATTTTTTTTGGAGACTTTGCATGTAAGTAAATGAGACACAAAGTACTGGAATATAAAATAGAATCATGTGTGACAGAACTAGTAGGTACGTAAGTAATTCAGGGAAGTGGGCACTGTATGAAGATTCAGTAGTAATAAGAAAGAATTGTGTCCAGGTCATGGTGTTCTGTGAATGCCGGCCGTTGAAACTCAGATTATGTTCTCTATACATTTAGTATGGGCTAAGAATTGAGTGTAAGTCTTGAATGTCGTAGGAATATAGAATATTGAGACTTAGCATGTCTCACCCCCTGAGGACCTTACTGGACAGCTGAGGCAGTCTGTCAAAGGCAGCCAGGTAGAGAGGTGAGGCTGTTCACGAGTGTCTGCACTTGGAGCCAGAGCTGTGCTCTCCTTACCATGCCTGTGGCCTTGGAGGAGATTCAGAGCTTGGGAAAAAATAACTAATTCTGTTTGTGGATGGACAATAGGTTTTTTCTTTTGTACTGGGAATCGAACTCAGGACCTTGCATGTGCTAGGCAGGAGCTATGCTGCTGAGCTATGTCCTGGGCCCTGGACAGTAGTTTTAAGAGGAAGTGATGCCTGAGCGGGCATCATGGTGGTAGCAGGGAATATTGTTTCTGGCATTGTTGAAAATTGTCACTCGATGGTGATAAGAAAGCAGATTGACATGTAGTCAGTTTGATTGCTGTTTTATAATCCTCTGATTTTTTTCTTGACCAATTTTGCATGCTTATTTCTGGTGACCTGAACAACTAATTTGAAGACAACAATATGCAATATAAGAACCATTGCTGAATTCCTACTATTTTGTTTAGTGACGCTCTGTGTCTTAGTTATTTTTCTCTCATTGCTGAGACAAAATACCCGACACCCAGAATTAAGGAAGGTAAGGTTTATTTAGCTTACAGTTTGTGGAGGTTTCAGTCCATACTTGGCTGGCTCCAAGGCAGAGTGGCACATGGTAGAGGGCAACCATTCATGGTGACAGAAGATAGCAAAAAACAAGAGCAAAAGGGAAGAGTGGCCAGAAGCAGCCTCTTTCTCTCCCTTACATATGCAAACTATCCACCTCAGGGGGGTGTAGCTCTCACACTTGTAGTCCCAGCATTGGATCATGGATCAGTTATAAATTCTTAAAATCCCGCCCCATGACTGCATGTGTCTTTGGGGGGATGCCCAGACACAAACCATAACACTGTGTTATCGTTTCTAATTTTTTTATTCTCTTTAATTGTTCAGTCAATCTTGTATTCTTACATCTGGTAATCTGAGCAACTTTGTTGAAGATAATAATATGTAATTGTTAATTACACTGTTAATTCCTATCTTTGTTTTGAAATCTGTATCTTTTTATTGTTTTTGTGTTGTTTTGTTTTTGTCTTTGTTGTTATTTTATTATTGTTTTTTTTTTCTCTTTAAAATTAAAAAAAATCCTCCGTAGGCAGTTATGAACACCCCTCCCCAGCCCTCCAGGTTCATTTGTGTCACCTTTACCCTCTGCCCGAAGCATACCACTGCCGTATGATGCCATGGAAATGGAGCTCTGTAAAATCAAAATGGGAGGGCAGTGACGAGATAGTGTGGGAGTCCTGTTGCCCTTAGCAGTCAGATCCTGGTTTGATTCTGGAAGGTTGTCTAGAGCTAATAAGCATTAGATGTGAGGGAGAAGTTCGAGGGGCGGCTGGTTGTTCCCCGCCGGCTCCAGGTCCCATTTGGCTGGTGATCAGGACGGAGCTGAGCTGTCTTGGAAATCAGTGGGTTGCTGTGAGCTGCTGGAGCAGCAGGGAAAAGGAGGCCAGGGCGCAGGGCAGGAAGAGTTTTCTGAGGATAAGCCCAGCATGGTCAAAATTGTGCTTTAGAGTTTATGTCCTCTAAACAGGACATTTACAAAGCTTGATAAACTGGAGGCAGAAAGACAGGGGTAGAAAAAGGGGCCTGAACTTTGGCAGTGGAAATTAGAGGTCAGTTTCTAAAGTTATTGTAGAAGTCAAACATTCATGTATTCATTTCATAGATACCCAGTACCTCGTGTAATTAGCCGTGGTGGGTATAAAAAGGGAATTTCTCCAGCCTTTAAAAGAATTCATAGTGCACTTGAGATGACAGATGATTGAAATACAATATGATAAATGAAATAACAGGATTGTTTTTTGGATACAGAGTCTTGCTATGTAGTTTAGACTGGCTTTGAACTAACAGTTAAGCACACAGTTCAGTGATAAAACAAAGGGTACAGTAAGAATTTGCCTTGCTTCCTGGAAGAAAAGATTTTTGACCTGGGTTCTGAAAGATAATGAGACAAAATACCTGACACCCAGAATTAAGGAACTGGCCTGACAGTGGCCACGCCAGGGGGCGTGAGGCATGTAGGTGGCCGAGAGGGAGACAGTAAAGCAGAAGCCAGCGTGCGCTTTGTGTGTCCTCAGCAGAGGCAGGGTTGGTGGTGGAGGACCGTATATGCCGTGGCAGACAACTGAGGCTACCTTGATATCAGTAAAGGAGTTGTGCAAGACTTAAGTATACAAATAACATGGCTAGAGTGGTCTCCTAAATGGGGTATGCTAGCAGCTGTGTGAAGCAGGGATTTGAGGAAGGTAAGAATGAAAACAGAGGTCATTTCAATAGTTCTAAAAGTGGTAAATTCAGAAAGCTGTAGTAACTAGAATGAAGGAAAGAGCAAATTGAAGAGATATTTTGAATTCAAAATTCACAAGGTATACTGGAACGCAAAACACTGAGCAAGGAAGGAATCTGCTTTCATCTTTTGGTCTTATACAATAGGTGGATGGGCAGTAGGAAATTTCTGAGGAGGAATTAGGTGCTAGCTGGGTGGCATGAGGGGTCACTCTGAAGTTCTGGATTTCTAAGATACACAGAAACAGGTTTTAGATTCTATTTCTGCCAATAGGACAGACTGAATTTCAGAAAGCACACTGACATGAAGCTTCTAGAAATGTTACCAAGAACAGCTTTAAGAATATTTCTGAACTTACAGGATGAAATCCTCTGCCCTCACTTTTTTTTTTTGTCTTTTTGAGACAGGGTCTTGCTGTTCAGTTCAGGCTGGCCTTGAGCTCACTTTGTAGCCCAGGCTGGTCTCCAGCCTGCAACGATCCTCCTGCCTCAGCCTCTCAACTGCTGGGATTATAGGGGTGCGTCACCACGCCCAGCCAAGAATGAAATCCTCTGAAGCCAGAACAAAATAAACATGGAAGGGAGGGGAGTGGTAAGCAAATGCTGGAGGCACTAGTTACGTAGGGAGCGTGGACTGATCCCAGGTGGCCTAGAATGTGGGTCTTGAGGTGACACAGGGACCAGAAGCAAAACTTCAGACTCCTAAGTTAGAGTTGAAATTCACTAAAGCCAAGAACTTCGAAGAATCTTACCCACAGAGAAAGGGTGAATTAGAAAAGTAATTTTTATCTGAAAAAGCAGAGAGACTTTGAAGCAGAAATCCTGACCGAACTTCAGCCATTTTGTTCAATAAAGATGCAGGCATTTTGTTCTCTGCCACTGAGCTGAGCTAAATCATGATTTGTCATCGAATTGAAACTTCTGTGAATGTGCTAAAAACAACTTCCTGCTCACCACAAGATACCCATTGTACCATAACCTTCAGCAAAAGCTTATCTCGTTCTTGTACCTTCTGTTTGCCACCTTATAAATAAGACACGCTCTCTGTAAACAGCCTCAGACTTTGGAGATAACTCTTCTGGGGTCTGCTAGCGTCAATAAAATTTTCTTTCTTCTGCTGAGCTCCTGGCTATTGCTGATTTAGTTTTTCCCACAACAACATAAGCATCTCACCTTGGTTTGGGTTGGAGGAAAGAGTGTTTTCTCCAGGAATATGTGGGTAAGTGCCCTGGCAAGTGTAAGGTCCTGAGTTCGTTTCCTGGTACCAAAAAAAAAAAAGAAAAGAATTGCAGTATCATAAGGTATAGGCATAAAATTTAGAATTAAGGCAGAACTCTAGTCTACCAGAGAACCTACAATCTTTTATTTCTGTTATTTGTTTTGTGGTTCTGGGGATCAAATTCCAGGTTTCACACATGCTAGGCCAGTGGCCTAAATTGATCTGCATCCCTAGCTCCAGACTTACTAACAAGCACTTACAGGGTTATGATTTTGATTGACGGAGTTAAATCCATTCGTAAGTGTTCAGATGGTCTCTGGTGTTCAAATAGTAGTGTTTTTTCACATATATTTTTCTAGATTCTGATAATTAAAGAATGAGTGCCATTTTGCCCCTAGTTTAGCCACGTGGGTAAAAATTTTTCTGTCTGTAGTTTGAGCCAATTTGTCCCTGTGGTTTGGGTTATTATTATTTTATTAACAGTCTGTGGGCGGTTTGCATCAAGCAGTGTGAAACAGTCTCGACAAAGCCAGTATATTTCCTCTTGTCTGCCCTCCTGCCCCCAGTGAGGGCGGGGCTATCTATCGGTAATCCTTACGCAGATGTCAGAATGAACAGCTCTAAGATACCAATGCTGACAAAACTGGAGTGGGTTCTTTGTATGTGGTGGTAGGCTTTAAAGTACTGTCAGTAGTGTGGACTTTATTCTTAGTAACAGATTTCCTTTGGGTATTGGATTTTTAATAAGATAATTTCAATTATTATTAATTTTTCTAGCGATGGGGTCATGTGCCTCCTAGGCAAGCGCTCTACTACTGAGCTATGCCCCTATTTCTAATTTGCTGAGTCTGAAGAAGTTGGAAAACCCCTTTCCCCAATGCTGTGGTGAAGTCACAAGCGATCCTGGAAGCTCATCCATGGATGATGTGGGTGTCGGGCCTAATCCGTCAGCAAGGAGGGGAGCGCTTGACAGTGCAGTTGGTGAAGTTACCGTCAAGCTGGCAGGAAGCCAGAAAGGATAAGGACTCATGAGGATGCTCCCCTGAGAAAGAATTAAATCCGTGCGACATCCTACCTAGTCCCATTCGACACCTGTGCTCATGCGGAGGGGACTGGCCGTGCGAGGCGCAGGGGAGAGCGGTGAGGCGGCCTGCGGAAGGCTCCGCTATCAGCACGTTCACAGAGTGGGCGGCGGAGGGCAGACAGGAGGATTTATACAGCGTTTGTCTTTCCGACGCAGCGTTCTACAGTTCCGGAGTAGGAATGTACTGATTAGAAGTGTGGCTCCCGGGGCACTCGACTGAAAGAAGCCGAAATAATTTTATAAGCACCGAGAGGCTTCTGCTGTTTTGCCATAAAAAGTTTCCTCTAATGATCTGAAGTTAAAATGCGGTGTAAGAGAAAAGCCAAGTGCCTGTCACAGGTGTGTGAAGATCAGAAGCGGGAGTGAAGCCTTTTCTGTCTCCCTGGAGTGGCCGGCCCCTTCTTCCCCGCCTGTGCGCCCTCCCTGCTGTGTCCTTCCGTGCCTGCCGTTCTCGGTCTGTGTGTTCACACTCGGTGTCTCTGTAGTGTCCTCCCTTCCTCCTTTCCTTGTTTTTTTTTTTTTTTTTTTTTACTAATTATTTATTTATTTTTTGTCTTTGAGACAGGGTCTTGCTATGAGTTCAGGCTGGTCTTGAGCTCGCTTTGTATCCCAGGCTGGTCTCGAACTCAGAACGATCCTCCTGCCTCAGCCTTCTGAGTGCTGGGATTACAGGGGTGCGCCACCACGCCCCGGCTACTCTTTTTTTCTTACCTTATTTAGTTGACTAGAGAATTTTATATTTCATTTTGTTTTAATTTTATTCTCAAGTTATCAGGTTTAGATTAAAGTTGTTGCTCCATGGATCTCATTTGTATAGTTCCTTGACAGGTGAGTTTTGTTACTGGCATGTAATCTGAAAATTTCTTGATAGAAATAATATGTGTGTGTACTTTGCACTTTTCCTTTGGTTTTTTCAGCTGTGCTTCTCCATTTAAAAAATATAAAACTAACAAACAAAAAAGCTCAACTATACTGAGAGGCCAAGGGAAACCACAGCAGAAACATAATTTCCCTTCAACAGTAACAAAACAGTTTCTGCAAGCCTTGAAACTTGACTCTGAATTTTATATAATTTTATTTGCTCTCAGAAAGTGCACACTAAACATTTTGGTAGGGTTTTTTTTTTCTGCTCCTGGAAAACAAACTCTTTTACAGATTGACAGTTCACTGTCAACATTATGGTTGTGAAACAGCTCTCAGAGATTATTTAATAATGTACATGAAGGCAAGAGGGCAATCTCTGAGTCAAATTCCTATCTTTTAAATTTTTTTTTTAGACAGCGTCTCACTATGCAGTTCAGGCCGCCCTTGAGCTCACTTTGTAGCCCAGGCTGGTCTCGAACTCACAACAGTCGTTCTGCCTCAGCTTCTTGGGTGCTGGAATTACAGCCACCACACGTGGCTAGTAATTTAAAGCTATCCTGTTTTTTTGGTTTTTTGTTTGTTTGTTTGTTTTCTTTTTGGGTCTTTTTGAGACAGAGTCTCCTTTTGCTCTTCAGGCTGACCTAGAGCACACTTTGTAGCCCAGGCTGGTCTTGAACTCAGAGCGATCCCCCTGCTTTAGCCTCCTGAGTGCTGGAATTACAAGCTTGCGCCACCACACCCAGTTTTATCCTGTTACATTTTTAATGTTTTTCTTTTTTTGTAGTGCTGGGGATCAAACCTAGGACTTTGGAAAAGTACTGTAGTACAGAGCTATCACCAATGGAGATTTTATTTTTAATTCCACTGGATTCTGACACTCTTAAAGGATGAGATCATGTTTTTGATACTTTTGTATTTACACAGTTGGGCTCAGCATATTATGTCGCCCATGCTGGGTATTGGGAAAAAGTTGGGCATGGTAGCACATTCCTGTAATCCCAGCACTTGGCAGGCTGAGGCAGGAGGATCGATGTGAGTTCAAGGCCAGCCTGGGCTACAAAGTGAGTTCAAGGCCAGCCCGAATTGTATAGTGAAGCCCTGTCTCACGAAGACAAAAAAAGCTGGGGACTTAGCTTGGTGGCACAGTGCCTGCCTGGCAAGTACAAGGTCGTGAGTTCAATTCCTGGTCCGGAAAAAACAAACAAAGAAACAAACAAAAAGAAAAAAAAAAAGTTGTTGGATGAATGACTGAATAGTGGCTTTCTGTAGCCTCCATGTTCTTTTTTCCTTTTGATTTTAGTGAACATAGTAGTTACAGATATGGGGTACTGTATGATTTTTGAAGGCCTGGATACCATGTACAGTGGTCGATCAGGCTAACAGGCTTCTCTGTTCTTTCAAACATTTAGCATTTCTTTGTGTTGATACCATTCAGACCTGTCCTAGCTATTTTGAAATACACAGTTGTCGTCGACCATCGCTATACTACTGTGCTATAGAACACTGGAAGTTACTGATCCTGTCCAAGTGCTCATCTGTACCCATTAACCATCCTCTCCTACCTCCACCCTTCCCGGCTTCTGGTACCCGTTCTACTCTATTTCTCCCTGCATATTCTTTGCGAATGTGCGTGTGCCGGTGTAGAAGGTGTTCCAGACAGAACTGCTGCCTGGGGAGCTAGGGAAGGATCCACAGATACTTGACAACATTGTAATGTTGTAAATAAACGGAAGGGGGCAGTACCTGCTTCTTAGGAAAAACTACACGCAGTAATCCCAGCAATCGGTGAGGCTGAGGCAGGAAGATCACAGGTTTGAAATCAAGGTGGGTAATTTAGCAGACCCTGTCTCCAAAAAAAGGGGATGGAGAGAGCAGCACTGGGGATGTAGCTCAGTGCGAAGGTCCTAGACTCGATCTCCAGTAGTGCAAGCAAAACAAAACCCCAAAATACTAGATATAAAAGAAAGTTAAAGGCCAGGGCTATAGCTCAGTGGCACAAGCGCCTGCCTAGCAAGCGCAAGGTCCTGAGTTCAATCCCTGGTACCAAAAACAAACAAAACAAAACAAAACAAAAAAGAAAGTTAAGGGGGGCGTAGTGGTGCACGCCTGTAATCCCAGCCCTCGGGAGGCTGAGGCAGGAGGATCACTGTGAGTTGGAGGCCAGCCAGGGCTATGTGGTGAGTTAAAGTTCAGCCTAAATTATATAGTGAGACCCTGTTTCAAAACAAAAATTAAAAAATAAATAAAAAAATAGAAATATAAAAAGAATTTGAACTGTAGCTTACTGTAAAGGTCCTGGGTTCAGTCTGCAGTACCACACACACACACACACACACACACACACACAGGGCCAAGACCAACCACATGTGTGATAGTTGTTGCATAAGGTTATATCAACTAGTGATGTCTCTGTCTTCCTTTGCAGAGCGCAGTCTGTGATGTCGGCACAGCGCGGAAAGCGTGTCACGATGCATTTCTCAGAATGTCCCCCATCCTTACACGGCGCGTAACTACTGCTGAGCGCAGACATCGCAGCCGGCACTGTGAATGCTGTGCTGCATTTAATACCAAATCTGCACTTCAGCTTGGAAAGCACTGCCGTCTTTACTGCATGCAGTCTCCGTGACCGTTAGTGTTTCTCCGTCTGTGTTAGGGTTCTTTTGTTTCTCTTAGGAAGGGTCACTGGGGGCCGGGGATTTAGCTCAGCGGCACAGTGCCCGCCTGGAAAGCGCGAGGTCGTGAGTTCGATTCCCGGTACCGGAGAAAAACCCAAACATAAGTGTTACTTTTCTCTGAGTGGCCCTTCTATTTTCTAAATTAGTTATTCCCAATACATTCCTTTTTATTATCAACAGCATTATTAAAATTATATTTTCTAACTCACATCACTCATATATGAGTAAAATTATTCATGGTGGCTGCATGTAATAGCTTTGCAGAATTTATTTGCTATTAGATCATTAGTCTTTTTTAAAAAAACTTTTTTATAAACATGGCCAATGAACACCTGAAAAGATGATAAAAATGACTAATGACTAAGGAAATGTGCTAAAACTACAATGAGATACCACCTTACACCCACTAGGATAGCTGTTATAAAAACAAACACACACAAAGCCTGAACAGGAAGCAGCGAGTGTGCGAGGGCGTGGAGAAGTGGGTGACTCTGCACCACCGGTGGGGATGTAAAATGGCACAGCCGCTGCGGAGAAGGCCGTGTACAGCTCCCCAGAAGCTCACGTATAATTACCAGGTACCCAGCAATTCCACATCTGTGTGCACCGCAAATATTGAAAACAGGATCTTTCTTTTACCTCCCTCCCCTTCTATTCTGCCTCCCTCTCTTTTCCTTCCTTCCCCCCCCCGTCCTTTACTCTCTCCCTTTCCCTTTTCGTTTCCCTTTCCCTCTCTCTCTTTTCTTTCTGACATGGTCTTCTCTGTTGCCCAGGGCAGCCTAGGACTTGCGCTCCTCCTGCCTCAGTCTCTGGAATAATGCAGTTGCAGGTGGGCACCGCCACATGCAGATTTTTTTTTTTCTTTTTGAGACAAGGTCTCGCTGTGCAGTTCAGGCTGGCCTTAAGCTCACTTTGTAGCCCAGGCTGGTCTCAAACTTGCAAGGATCCTCCTGCCTCAGCCTCCCGAGTGCTGGGATTACAGGCATGTGCCACTATGCCAGGCTAAAAGACATTGGTGTGACTATGCTCATAACAGCATTAGTCACTAAAGCTACAAGGTGGAAACAGCCCAGCAGGCTCCCCAGCTGGGATAGCAGGCGTGTGGCCCCAGCAGGCCTCACTTAGTGTGCCAATGCCGTGCTGAAGCGGTGTCTCCCTCACTCCTGTGTGGCTTTCTAGTAGTCTCAGCTAGTGCCGTCCCTGAGGAATTGTGCGTTTTAAAAAGTACTGCTCTGGTAAGGTTTTTCCTGCGACGTCTCCAACTCTAAATCATGCAGTAAGGCCTGTGATACTTCAACTGTTTCTGCCGGATCTCCTCTTTTTTTTTTTTTTTTTTTTTTTTGGTGTGAGGAATCCAACTCAGGACTTTGCCCTTGCCCCGCAGGCACTCGCACCGCTGAGCTACCTCTCTGGCCCCTCGGGCTGTTTTTTGGGGATTTATGTGAACGGGAAGCACTATCGCTGCGATTCTCCTCCCTCTTCCTCCCCTGTCCTCTTCTGTCCTTTGCTTTTGGTGGGGAGAAGCGCTTGCAAGCTCCAAAGCGGGGAGTAACTGTGGCTAAAAAGTAAACTGCTCCTCCTAGTGGAAAGAAAGGGAACTTCAGAACTCACGGGTCTAAATCTTTCCTGACCATCTTAGTGGGTTTTTTTTCTTCTTTTCTTTTCTTTTTTTTGTCCTTTTGAGGCAGGGTCTCGCTATGCAGTTCAGGTTGGCCTTGAGCTCGCTTTGTAGCTCAGGGTGGCCTCGAACTCGCAAAGGTCCTCCTGCCTCAGCCTCCAAGTGCTGGGATTACAGGCGTGTGCCACCACGCCTGGACCAATACTTTTACCAATACCACACACTTAAAAGGAAATTCGAGCCACAGTTTCTAGGAATAAAGAAGGAAGTGGCACTTTCTCTTGTTTACTAATTCTACTCTGGTCTGAGTAGTGCTCCCCTCAAGAGACCGGCATGACTGATGGTGACTCGTTAACGCTGCCTCCCAAGCCCGCCTGAGCTCTGCCGTGACCCTGCCGCGTTTGTGGCCAGGGCACCTCCCCTGCCCCTAAGCTCTGGCTTTCCCCGGTTCCTGTTTCTCAAGGTTGTTAGGGCAGAATTAGGGGCTTACTAATGACTGGTTTGTCTCTTACTGTGACTTAGAACTTGGGTAATTCAATACTTTTAAAAATTTATTTCCTTTTTTTTATATAACAGGTTTAGGAAATAGCAATATTTTCCCGGCCAGATCAGGATGTAACACTACAGGCTGTTTCAGACTCGGTGTATCTTTTTTTGTTTTTTGCTTTTTTGTTTGTCTTTTTGAGACAGGGTCAAGCTATGCAATTCAGGTTGGCCTTGAGCTCACTTTGTAGCCCAGACTGGTCTCGAATTTGCAACAGTCCTCCTGCCTCAGCCTCCCGAGTGCTGGGATTACAGGTGTGCATCACCACACCCGGCTTGGTGTATGTTGTAACTCAGATCCCCTCAGCACCCCACCTAAACATCTGGATGACTTCTCTCTTTTTCCAAAGTAAGATAATCCTGACAAGGTTCTCTGGGAAATTTCCAAGCATATTGTTTTTTCTCACTCCCCCTCAAAAGAAATGCAAACCAAAAATGTTTAAAGTCTTTCATAGAGAATTCCCTGGTTTTTTAATTTACAGAGCCCAAGTTTCTGAGTTGATCGGTACATGGTAGCAGGTGTATAAAGTTTTTGTTTTTGGGTTTCTTTTTCTTCACCTCAATCATAGCCATTCAATTTATGCTTTGGCCATCTAAAATTTATTTATGTATTTGTTTATTGTCTTTTTGAGTCAGGGTCATGATATGCAGTTTAGGTTGGACTTGATCTCACTTTGTAGCCCAGGCTGGTCTCGAACTTGAAACAAACTTCCTGCCTCAGCCTCCCGAATGCTGGGATTGAAAATGCTTTTAAAACCTTATTTTCTCTCACAATGTTTTCCCAAAATATCAATTGGCAGATGATGTTCAACTGGCTTTTTTTTTGTTGTTGGTACCGGGAATCGAACTCAGGACATTGCGCTTGCCAGGCAGGCTCTTGTGCCGCTGAGCTACATCCCCAGTCTCAAGTGGCTTTTATACATTTGCTTCTTGGCTTGCTTCCTAGGGTCTGCTCTTGTATTTCCACTGCTGCCACTGTGGAGACAGGTACATTCATCCATCATAGCTCACTGACACCGTTCCTTATTTATAGTATAATTCTTTATTTACGTAGAACGTTACAACTTGCAAAGGAATTTCACACCCAGAGCCTGCCAAAAAAAGTGTATGCAACTTCAGGAAAATAAAAGCTTGTGTAAATATTTTAGTGCTAAATTATTGAGACATCATGAGATTAATAGTTACCTTTGGCCTCTACAATTGCAAAATGGTACAGCAAACTGCTGCTTGGGTGACCTTGGTCACTGAGACAGCTGCACATGCATTTTCAGTTTATTCTCTAAGGGCCAGCAGGGCAGTGAGTTTTCTGTGTGATATATGACATCCTCTAGGGTCCTCATAGATAAAAGTCTACAGGGTTACATTAGGAGAGCATGTACCTTATACAAGTTTTTGTGTTTCTGAAGTGTGTATGCATTTTTTTAGCAGACTCTGTATATCATCTGATTATTCACTCATATATAAAAATATTTAAGTATTTGCTAAGTAGCTGGCACTATGTGGGCTCTGAGGATATAAAGAAATCACACGCTTGATGGAAGGCATGTAAGACAATAGGTAGGTACAATGCTCAAAAGCAAACAAACTGCTGATAATGGATTCATTTCTAAATACATTTTTTAATACTGAAAAGTGCCGGGCATAGTGGCGCACGCCTGTAATCCCAGTACTCGGGAGGCTGAGGCAGGAGGATCATTGTGAGTTCGAGGCCAGCCTGGGCTACAAAGTGAGCTCAAGGCTAGCCTGAACTACATAGTGAGACACTGTCTCAAAAAGACAGAAAAAAGACTGAGAAAGTACGTATACTGACTAATGATGTATGCTGGAATATTTTTCACTTGACACTTTCATTGCGTGTGTGTGTGTGTTTGTGTGTATAAAAGAGTGGATGCGCTGACATTTTGGCTTGTAAAGTAGTACTTGAAGAGCACGGCCGGAACGTAATCTCTAACGGCTGAGTGCACGCACAGAGGGGCCTCACCATGAAAACTGAAGTCCATATTCATGCACCCTGATGACCTCCCCAAGGCTCAGATAAACAAGGGAGCCCCATCTGGTCCATCTACTGGCTTCTCTGTCCTCAACGTGTAGGACGTTCCAGGGGCCAGCTGTGCTGCGCAAATGAAGGACTCCTGAAAGAGCACAGGCATCCCTGTCCTGGGTTCGTGTTTACGTTGTAACTGACGTGTGAGAGGTGACTTTGGCATCACTCAAAGTGGAAAGGGAGTCTCATGGCCGAGCGTTACGTCCAACAGAGAAGTGAGTCAGTGGGGCCCGTGAGACTTGTGAACCAAGGTTAGTCACATGGTGATGGAGCCGCTTAATATGAACCCAGTTTTCTCTTCACATCATTTCCCTTGAAATTGGGTGGAATTCCCCACACTTATTGCTCAATTTTGCAGCTGCAAAAAGTGAGCAAAAGCAATATTTTGGACAGTACTTAAAATCTGTAGCTCTTTGGCATGGGCTGGGCTCAAACTTCTAGTCTTCCCGGTTCAGCCTCCCTACGTGCTGGGATTACAGGCATGTGCCGCCATATAGGCATGTGTCACCTGAACAAATTAAAGCTATGTCATAGTTTGGGGTTTTGCCAGGGGAACAATATAGTATAGGACACATTTTATAAGATTATTTATAATAATCACCCAAAGAATCATATACAAGAGAGTGCAGGAAATCTGTCCACACACTGAAGAATCTAGCCAAAGGGCCTGGATCCTATGATAATGTCCTGTACGAGTTCAGCTGAAGACCTAGAGCCCATAACAATGCCTCCCGCAAGTCCAGCTGGAGGCCCAGAGCCCATGACAATATTGCATGCAGGCCTGTTTCACGGATCTGCGCTGGGAAGGCCCAAAGGTCAGTAGTGGAAGCTAGAAAGTCTGTGCCAGCGGGATGAAGTATCTGTGCTAGCAGGCTGAGGGATCTGCAGTGGAGTCAGGAAGCAATACTCAAAGTAAGAACCAGAGCTTCCCCGACAGGTACCACAGCCATCCTCAGCAACAGTGAGGTCCTGAGCTCCTTGGAGGATGAAAACAGCCAGGTTTAT